AAAAAAGATATTAAGGCAGTGGTTCTTAACCTGGTTTTGATCGAACCCCAGGGGTTCGGCTGAGGTCCCAAAAAATCGGGAAAATAAATCACATTTTAGTTTTTCTATTAAGAAGGGTTCGGTGAAGGTGCATGTGAAACTGGTGGGGTTCGGTACCCCCAACAAGGTTAAGAACCACTGTAATAAGGATATACAGTCAAAACGATTTGTACTTAGAAATTCTAAGCCTGTAACTAAAGAAAGAATTATTCACCCACCTGTAAAAAATGTTGAGATGACGACATTGGAGAACCTGAGCCTGGTCGTAGTCTTCATTATCAGGAGACGCCTATGTGTTACTTGCAATGTCGCTCTGTTTGCTTAAAATTTTTTTGTTAAAATTATCTGTTGGTGTGTCTCTCGAGGTTCACTTTAAACCAAATAGGACTTGGAACTTCAGTAAGGAATGCAATGGATGTTAAAATTTTGATTGTTGCTTTCAGCTTCGTTACTCAAGGTGAGTAAACATAAATTTTTATAATAGACAGGTCTTCGGCGGCTGGTTAATCGTCTTTCACACGCTTGTCAAGAGTTTGTACTGTTAATTAGTCTACAGGAAAAAAAAAATCATGATGCAAGAAGCACCATCCGTTCCAATCATATCCATTGAGGGCCATAATCTGTTGGTTTTGAGCATTTCACATACATTGCCCTTCCTAACAATTGATGCAACAAAGAGGCTGATGTCTGCATTTGTGCTATCACACATGGAATAAGCGGGAGTGGAATAAAATCAGTCTAACTGAGTAAACAAAACTAAGTGTCTATCAGGCGCGTGTGCTAAATACGATTCTATATGGCAGTCCAGTGTGGACCATATATACCATTCGTGAGCAGAAAATCAACAGCTTCCATCAAAGATGTCTGCGTCGAATTTTACGCATGCGATGGCAGTACAAGGTGCATAAAACAGAGATCTTGGAACGTGAAATTTTGTTTAGCATATTCTCGGCTCTTGGCAAGAGGCGCCTATGTTTAGGTCATGTAAGGAGAATGGAGAAAGGCCGTATCCCACAGATGCTGCTGTATGGATAGTTGGCAGAAGGGACAAGACTTATTGGATGGCCACGCCTAAGATTTATGGACGTTTACAAAAAAAGAGCACGAGGGAAGCCTACATTGCAATCAACGAATGTGAGATCATTGCTGAAGAACGTTCCAGCTGGCGAACAGCAGTGTATGAAGGAGTCATGCACTGTTATTCTAAAAAATGATACTTGATATCTGATGTTTGATTATGAAAGTTTCATTGCAGAGAAATTTAAAAATCTCTTTGGAAATGTAAAAGATAAAAAAAAAATAATAAAACCATCATTTTATTTAATTTTTAAATATAATTTTAGTTTTATAGTTCTTGCCAGCATGCGCAGATGACCACTTCAATATTTGACTTGAGCAGTGGCCTTGACTTGAGCAGTGGCCTTGACTTGAGCGGTGGCCTTGACTTTAGCTGTGGCCTTGACTTGTGCAGTGGCCTTGACTTGAGCAGTGGCCTTGACTTGAGCAGTAGCCTTGACTTGGGCTGTGGACTTGACTTGAGCAGTGGCCTTGACTTGAGCAGTGGCCTTGACTTGAGCAGTGACCTTGCCTTGAGCAGTGACCTTGACTTGTGCAGTGGCCTTGACTTGAGCTGCATGCCGTTTGAAGTAAGGGAAATTTACTCCATTCTCGTTCTCAATCTCTTCTCGTCCTTGACTATTTAATCCAATGGCAAGACTTAGTCAAGACGACTGAAAACACACTATATGACGATGTGGATGACCAACAGATGTTTTTTTTTTAAATTTAGTTGTTGTTTTTTTATGTGTACTTCAATGCGCTTTTTATGCGTTCCACGTTTGCAGTACTTGTCGGAATTTTCATTGTGTCAATGTCATACCGCCTACGGGCCTTCATCTCCCGGTTTTATTTTAGAGTATGCCTTCTCTTGGACGAGATCCCATCTAGAGTTTGTGTAATCATCCTCCCTGGAGTTGTTTTTGCTTTTCTAGGCTTTTGTTAGGGATTTCAACTCCTGTTTAGGCCCGGCGGTCACGGTAGCCTATTTATAGCTTATGAAGAATAAATACATCTCTTACATGAAGTATTTTGTTAAAGATCATATTATTTGCTTCTTAATCCAATTTTAAATGAAAATAGTTGTCTGAATTCTTTAAATACTTTATGTAAATAGTGAAAACGATCTTTCATATTAAATTTTATATAAAATGAATGTTGACTTGTAAAATTTTAATTTTAGATTTAAAAAATGTCTACTTTCTTTAATTCTAAAATCTTTATGCTTATTCTCCACAGTACATTCTAGTACAGCTAAATCTACCCCGTGTCCGAAGTTCTGTCCAGAGGGCTACCAGCCCGTCTGCGGGACTGACCATAACACGTACAACAACTGGTGCCTCCTTGCCGCGACCAGCTGCCGTAAACCCGACGCTGATCAGATAACGGTCGCACACAGCGGGGACTGCTACGCCAAGAGATGTCCGTGGTCTTGTGACCAATTCCAGTTACCCGTCTGCGGCAGCGATGGAATCACCTACAGCAACCTGTGCGAGTTGGAGAAAGCTGGCTGCGGGACCTCACCACAGAGGCCCGTCGTCCTGAAGCACGAAGGAAGCTGTGAGCGGGACTGGTGCAAGAAGGCGTGCCCTTTGACACACCGACCCGTGTGCGGGTCAAACAACGTAACGTACGACAACGAATGTGCTTTGAGACTGTCCAACTGCAACAAGACTTCCGATAACCCCATCACGGTGTGGTACGAGGAGGAGTGCCGGGAGCTGGGCTGTGAAAGGCCATGTCCTAAGATCTTCCGGCCCTTGTGCGGGGCAGACGGTGTGACCTACCCCAATTCGTGTGCCATAGAAGAAGCCATGTGCCGCAACAAAACGGAGTTTGCGTACGAAGGCGTTTGCAACAAGACGGATCCGATATGCCCGATCGCTTGCATCGTGAAGTGGAGTCCCGTGTGTGGCAGCGACAGGGTGACCTACCCCAGCCGATGCTACCTGGATGGAGAAAACTGCGATAGAGATGAACGAGATAAGGTCAGGGTTAAACAGGAAGGTCCGTGCGCAAACTGGAAACCAACATGTCCACTGGCGTGCAGCGACGTCTACCAGCCTGTGTGTGGAAGTGACCATATGACTTACAATAGTGCTTGTCTTCTCGAGCAGGAAAATTGTGACGAACTTCAACCAGCTATTCGGATTGTTGATGCTGGAGTTTGCGCTTGAGGTCATTGAAATGGTTAACTAATATAAGTTTAGAAAACTTTAGGAGGCCGTTAGGAAAACCAGCTATGTGAAAACCAGCTATGTCACTTTTTTTGAAGAAAATAAAATGAGTCATCTATTTTAGCTTGTTTGTAAAATCTACAGTATTTTGGGTGGTTTGTTAGACTAAGTGTCAATATACACTATTTTTGCTGGTTGTTTAAGTGTCAATCTAGATTATTTTTGCTGGTTTGTTAAGTGTCAATCTACATTATTTTAGCTGGTTGTTTAAGCGACAATCTACTGTCTTTTGCCTGGTTTGTTAAGTGTCAATCTACAGTATTTTAGCTGGTTGTTTCAGTGTCAATCTATAGTCTTTTGTCTGGTTTGTTAAGTGTCAATCTACAGTCTTTTGGCTTGTGGTTTAAGTTCAATCTACAGTATTTTTGCAAGTTTGTTAAGTTTCAATCTACAGTATTTTGGCTCGTTATTTAAGTGTCAATCTAGAGTATTTTGGCTGGTTTGTTAAGTGTTAATCTACAGTATTTTAGTTGGTTTTTAAGTGTAAATCTACAGTATTTTGGCTGGTTTGTTAAGTGTCAATCTACAGCATTTTGGCTTTTGTTTAAGTGTTAATCTACCGTATTTTGGCAAGTATCTTAAGTGTCAATCTACAGTAGCTTGGCTGGTTTATTTAATGACAACCTACCTTATATGTTATGTATTTAAAGAATCAAAATCTTAAATTAAGTCTAAAATAACGAATAAAAAATTATAAATGCTAAATTCACTACATACAATTAATTTACAAATAAGGGCTGTTTCTCAAAATTAACCATACGTTTAAACCAGGAGTTTAGGGAACAAAATACACCCTGGTACATAAGTAAACAGTATTGCCTGATAGGGGACATTACTGGGAATTTTCAAACTTAGCGATGACGTGAGTAGATCCAGGCAAGAACGCCCATAGCGAATAATGCACTGGATTAGCATTCCTTTTAGCATTGCAAAGTCATTAGGAATGCTAACTACATGATGTTGTTTATTATGTGTGTGTGCGGTTTTACTAGTGTCATGTCACGTAGTTCTTGGAAACTCCAATGATGTGCCACTAAATTCTTGGAAAACGCCAATGGTCTTCCATTGAATTCCTGGAAAACGCCAATGGTCTGCCATTGAATTCCTGGAAAACGCCAATGATCTGCCACTGAATTCTTGGAAACGCCAATGGTGTGCCACTGAATTCCTGGAAAACGCGAATAGTCTGGCACTGAATTCTTGGAAACGTCCATGGTGTGCCACTTAATTCCTGGAAAACGCCAATGGTCTGCCATTGAATTCTTGGAAACGCCAATGGTATGCCACTGAATTCCTGGAAAACGCCAAATGGCGTGCCACTGAATTCTTGGAAACGCCAATGGTGTGCCACTGAATTCATGGAAGCGCCAATGGTGTGCCACGTAATTCTTGGAAACGCCAATGGTGTTCCACTGAAATCTTAGAAACGCCAATGGTCTGCAACTGAATTCTTAGAAACGCTAATGGTGTGCCACTGAATTAATGGACATTTTTTAATGTAAAAAAAAAAAAAAAAAAAAAAATTATTATTTTTTTTTTTTTTTTTCAATGGTGTTCCACTGAAATCTTAGAAACGCCAATGGTCTGCAACTGAATTCTTAGAAACGCTAATGGTGTGCCACTGAATTAATGGACATTTTTTAATGTAAAAAAAAAAAAAAAAAAAAATTATTGTATTTATTTTTATTTTGCAAATGGATTTTCCGATTTGTTAATTCATGAAGCTGATACGATTTTACATTTGAAATAAATTGAAGGTAGCTAAAATGTAATGAGGTGTGTTTTTTCCTCCAATATTTGTTTTCATTTTTTCTATATATTTAATATCGTCTTTTTTTACAATATCAACAAAACATTGGGAAAAAAGAGTTTAAAAGAATACTTTTTTTAAAATTAAAAAGTTTCGGAAAAAAGGGGGGTTGGGGGTTATCCAGGCAGTGGGGAGACTGCGAGAAGGTTAAACCCCCAATATCATCTTTTCAATTCGACCACGGGACTACTACATTTTACTTTTGGCCTACCAAAGTTGAACTCATTTATTAAAATATATAAACATATATGATTACTATAACACAGCAGAAATTAAAAGAATGAAAATTAAATTTTTAACATTTTTAATATAGCAGCTTGTACCGTTATGTAAATAATCGAGATTTGAAAATGCATACCGTGTATAGAGATAGAAAGAACCTGTTCAGAAACGGGAATACCTCTGTAAACCTAGTATGAGTATATACTTTTTAATGTCCTAGTAGCATAATTACAAATCCCCTTAACTTTAAGGAATTGATAGAAGTAGGCCTTTCTCGCATCTAAAACTTTAAGTGGGAGGGGGAAGAATTCTTAAAACAATAACCTTTAGCCAATGCTTTTAACCGCCCAGCCGTTTATCCGACATTCGCCTTTGTACGCCTTGGTTATCCCAGACCTCCCACAGGTGCGTGCGTTAAACGTGCACTCGTTTGGATAAGTGACGCCATCACTACCACACACGGGGTTGTAGACCATCGCACAGAGCTTGGGGCAGGGCCGTGTGACCGTGGCTGCGGTACATTCCCCGCTGCTGTAAGACCTGATCTTTGCATTGGCCGGCCGGCTGCAGTTGACGGCCTTGAGATTGCAGATGCTGGCGTACGTGACGCTGTCGCTTCCACAAACAGGGGCGTAGATGGCGGGGCAGATCTGAAGGCAGTCGACGGTGACCCTGGTTGACCTGCACTCCCCTTCGTAGAAGCCCACGATCTTAGCGTTGCTCGGCTTGGTGCAGTTTGCGGCGTTCAGATTGCACGCGCTGGCGTAGGTGAAATTGTCGCTTCCGCAGACAGGGGCGTATATTGCCGGACATATCATGGGGCATTCTACTTTCTCGACGGGAGCCGCGGGTGTGGTCGCACACTGACCTTCGTGAACCAAAGTGACCTTGTCGCTATCAGCCTTTCCGCAGTTCGAGGAGTTTAGGTAACAAGCGCTTGCATACGTCACGCCGTCACTTCCGCATACAGGGTCGTAAATCTTGTAACATCGCATGTTGCAATCAGAGGATCGGGTGTTCGTGGTGCATTCCCCTAGGTAGGCTTTCGTGACTTTATCCGCGTCATCCTTTCCGCAGTTGGCGGCGTTCAGCGAGCACAAATTGCCGTAGGTTTTCCCGTCGCTGCCGCACACTGGTGTGTAATCAAACGTGCAGAACGTCGGGCATTCCTCGAGCGGTGCCGGATTCACTTGACCTCGGCAAGGGCCATCACTGACAACCGACACCTGATGGTTCCCTTTCCTCTTGCAGTTTTCCAGCTTCAAATAGCAAACGCTTGGGTAGGTGTGACCGTCAGCACCACAGACGGGTGCATAGATTTCGGGACAGCTTACTGTGCATGGGTTCACCGCCTGGGTTATAACCGGCTTCTGACATTCGCCGCCGTAAGCCAGACTTATACTGACCCCACGGCTGTTGCTGCAGGCGGCCACTGTCAGTTCACATGGGTTCGTGTACGTGATGCCGTCAGTTCCGCACACGGGACTGTATAGCTTGGGACATGCTCTTTGACAAACTACCCTGCGTGATAGTCCTAGAATAAGAGGGAATTAAAAAATATATGTCTTAGTTATTTTGAACGTGTTTGGTGGTGTCTAGATTTAATTGAATTTAATTTGATTTTACAGTGATATGATGTAGACTGTTTCGGACATGCTGCTTGTGTAAACATTATTTTGTCATTCTCATTTCCATTCAAGATTTTTAATTGTGATCTTGTATACGATTTAGACGTAGATCTATCTGAAAGAGCAATTTGTTAGCACATGAAGACAGGAAGACCTTGAGTTAAAATGATAAACGTATATGGTCTGTTATGTAACCACCATTTCTCATGATTAATCGCACACCAATGAAAAAATACCGAATATGAGTTTAAATGATATTGCTTTTAAAGTCGGTTGAAAATGTAGGATTTTCTCGGGTATGGGAGTTCACTAATAATTCTTACGCTTCGTATCATGGTTTTTATCGTGTGCGGTGTGCTTTTAAGAGAGTTGCTAGTTCATGAACGCTGTTCTTCCCGTCAGTAACTCGGTCAGGTATTTTTACGGTGCTAATGACGTGTGGTCTATACTGTCTTTTGGCGTTAGTCCAAGTTCGTCAACAGTCGCCGAAAGAACCTTGTATTGTAGGGGTTGGTTGTGTATTATTTCTCTCTTGTAGCGAGCTGCGCTGTACAAGTGTTTGGTTAAATCTAGTATGTTATATATATTTATAGCTTAAAGTTACATTACTCTTGAAAAAGGACTTGTGTTTATTTCAGTGTTAATTCTACGAATGAAAGTGGGGAAAAAAAAATATGACGAATGAAGCCAATCAAATGTATTGGAGTTTGTCAGGATTCATAGGAGAATCTGATGTCAGGACTACTATTTTCGTCTCAATAAATAGAACAAAAATATTAGTCAACGAAACTTTCGAACTGTTAATGTCCGTTGCAATTATATTAAGGCCTAATTTAAAATACTTACATCAAGAGCACGGACACATTAAAAACTAAACATTAATATGGTTAGTTGTTTAAAAGGTTTATTAAGTTACGTTTTAAAGCTTTAAAAAATGGAAAGTTAAATAACTTACTTAAAAACAGAGATACTTTGCTCATCAAAGTTTCAGATCAGAAAATAATTTAAGAAGTCCTTTAAAATTTCAAGATGTCAACTTGCAACTTGTAGCTTTTAACTTTGGACTTAGGGTTTTAAAAAAAAAACATGTTGTTTTTCACAAAACCTAGGTGGACAGCGAATGTCATCCCACTGAGTGGCCGCAGAATACCATCTCTGAACTACGCTACTGGATTAAACTTGTTTTCATGGCGTAAATTAATCTGACACAAACCACGACGTCAAACCGGCTGTGTGAGGCATTGGTGAACGAGACTAATGCAATGATTGTATCGGCTTAAAGTCTCCTTCCACGAGACAGATATTACTTTTAGACTCGTTAAAACAATATGGATATCCGTTTCTTATCCAGGAGGCTGCATGACTTTACGAAAAAAGTTGTTTAAATGGTTTGTGGTTTAGAAACATTAAAAAAAAGAAAAAATATCAAACAAACAAAACATTTGCGGTTTTAATTAGGGCTAGGCTGACGCAGCGGCGTGGGGAACTCACAACGCACCCTCCTACAGAAACTAACAACGCTTTCGATTGTGTGCAGAGACCAAGGGTCTTGTTTTCACACAGTCCAATGAGACCGCTGGCGGATACTTCATCTGAAGATTTATTCTAATTGCCCCCCCCCCCCGCGAACCCCATTGCGCCCAGCTCAGCGATCCCCGAGAGCAATTGTATCCCCAGGGTCCAAATGTCCTTACCGTGCACAGTGGTCAGGACGCACAGAATCATGATTGCACGTAATGGTGATATGCTGTTCATGATGGCACCAGAACTGTGTACCTACCAAAGTAACAATGGCAAAGGTAATATTGAGATTAACGTTAACTATAGAAATAGACAAAAGAAATTTAAAAAAAAAATTTAATAATGACAAAAGAAACAAATCTAAACTTATCTAAAGACGGATATTCGTGGCATCGTTTTTTTTTTTTTTTTTTTAAATTATTATTATAATGACAAAAAACATCGGTTGAATCATAAATAGTGATGTACTTAAATATCATTGCAAATGTAGCGTTCTGTTGAACTGGATGTCGATATTCCCACAGCTAATGAAATGAAAAGTACAGTATCGACGCTCCCCTTGAGCCTTAGAGAGCTACACGCCCCAATACAAATATTGACTCATCGTGACGTTAATGAGTGGTGTTAACACGCGAGGAAAAACAAACGGTTGGCTGGAATACAGCAGCCTTATCATTAACTGATAATACGATGTCCGTCTTAACGACCCGACAATGCTATGAAATGAATTACAGTGTCAAAGCAGGCGGTGCTACCTACAATTAAACCCATGGTAAATGCTATGTAGATAAACTAATGCTGTTTGTAAGCGACCGCTGTATTTCAGTTTTAAACTCCTTCGTTTTTATTTTTTTTTTTAAATTTTTTGCTTTTTGTAATTATTGCAGGAAATGATAATTAAAAATAATAATTTTTAAAAAAAAACGTGAAGCTAAAATAACTTTTAATCCGTATTTTATGCTATTTTTAAAAAAAAAAATGTTTGTGTGTGGTAAAAATATCAATTTTTTTTTTTAAAGAGGAATGAACGCGCACGATTATAAGGAGTTATAAAAAGAAAGAAGATGGAAGATTTGATATGTGAAGTAATATTCTAAGTTTTTGGCTGATATTGACAAAACAAAAGAAGGGTTTCTAATGGTTACAAAAATTTATATTACTCACCCATAAAAATGTTTTTAAAAAAAAAATTAAATTCTAACAATTTTTACTGGGGCTGGTCCGGGGGGGGGGGTCGGGGTGTAAAGAAAATTAAGAGAATACGGAATCATAGATTTGTTTACTTATCAGCTCTTGTTTAACCTTTGACATTTCATTTATTTATTTTTAAAGTATTTATGTCAACCCATTCAGAAAACCATACTTTATGGTTTTAACATAATATTCTTTTTACAAGTGATATTACTATATGCGTTATAAAACTTAGCTATGCTACATTACATTTCATGATTTGACTACATATCGCACGTTAACATACCGAATCTACAAAGTTAACTATTGTCTGCTTAAATACTAAAGAAAAAAGTAGAAAAAAAAAAATAAATAAATCTAACAGCATCTTACCTCATGCAGGCACCTTAAAGTTTAAATCCCAACTAACGCACACCCAACACTGCACTTTTCCCAGCGTCCCACTGTAGGTCTTTTATTGACACGAGATCGGGTAAACATTAGCACTGCATGCAGCTTACAACTCGGTCGAATATCAGCCTGAATGGTTACATGACGTGGAGGTTTACATTAATCACCGCAACTGCACACCCCCGCCCTGTTAATGTTGAAGAGGAATTCGTGATTCATGTTTCACTTTAACTGGCTTCAAGTACTGATCATGTGACTCTGTTGTAACGTTTTAAAAAATTTAAAAAAAAAAAAAAAGAAAAAAAAAAAATCAACAAAAAAAAAAAAAAAAAAAAAACAAAAAAAAAAAAAACGAAAACGAAATAATGTAATTATTCGATCACGTGATATTAGAAGAAGAAACGAAGGATCTAAAATTTATTGGATAAATCGTACCTCGCGCAGACACCTTAAAGTCTAAATCCCAACTAACACACACCCAACACTGCACTTTTCCCAGCGTCCCACTGTAGGTCTTTTATTGACACGAGATCGGGTAAACAGTAGCAGTGCATGCGGCTTACAACTCGGTCGAATATCAGCCTGAATGGTTACATGACGCGGAGGGTTACAGTAATCACCGCAACTGCACACCCCCGCCCCCTGTTCATGTTGAAGAGGAATTCGTGATTCGTGTTTCACTTTAAGTGGCTTCAAGTACTGATCATGTGACTCTGGTGTAACGTATTAAAATTTAAATAAAAACAATAAAATAAAATAAAAAAAACGAAAACGAAATGATGTAATTATTCGATCACGTGATATTAGAAGAAGAAACGAAGGATCTAAAATGTATTTGATAAATCGTGTCTTGCACTCGGTCCCTTTTTAAAAACCGGAGACGTAATGCATATAAAGAGTTAACAGTTTAAGGCAAACGTAATTATTTTCGTGCTTATTTACGACAGCCTGCCTGCGAGCACATTAAAAAAAAAAAACAATTTAAAAAATAAATAAAATTGTTTTAATTTCCTTAATACGAAAGAAGGAATCGGCCTAAGTTAACTGAAAACAGCTAAAGATGTAAATTTTGTTTGTAAATATCATTTTAAAAATTAAAATAATAAAATGTCTTCAGCATCAGCTTTCAGTGCGTTACTACTGACGGCTGCATGTAGGACTCTTCCGGCAACTCGCAAGGCCGCTTGGACAACAAAACCTACAAGCAGGAGGCCAACCATGAAAGTAACATCTAAAACTAGTTCTGCCCCATTTACATAGTACGCCAAAGAGAAAAGTCCTTGACAGGTGAGTTGTCTCCTAGCCGGAACATCTCTATTTTGAAATGTTCGCAAACCAGCCATCATGAAAAATAACTCAATCGTCTCAATGACCGCTACTATTCGAATTTGTCATTTTTACCATGCGAATAGTCTTATTGCACCATGTGACTCACGTCACTTCGGGGGTCGCACGAGACAAATAATAATTATAGAACCCTCAATATTTCTTTCTCTGGGACTGTAATACGGATGTTTATGTTATATTTAATCATAGGATTATTTTTACTTGCTATGTCGTCGATGTTTGGTTTGGATACGTGCTGTCTCCAAACACCGATCTTGAAACCGATCACAATTCGATATGGATTCGATCTGGAGGTCACTGGCTCACTTTTTGTGTGTGTGCGGTTTATTTAGCCTTGGGTTAGAGGTCACCTTGACCTAGTCAGGGGGCGGGTTAACCAATAATCGATATCATCCTACAGCTCGGTTGCCCCCCATTCATGTGTTTATATTCTATCGTTCATCTTAGTGCACTCATGCTCAAGCGAAGTTCCGCAAGTCAAAAACCTTTACAATCACTCTGACAATGACCAAGATTGTGATTGAATTTGTTATCGCCTGTGTTGTAATCCAAAAGGTTCGCGAAAGAGGCAAACTGCAAAAAAATGCATCAGCCATTCTCAAATTGATCACGAGCGACATTTGGAACCATTCGAAACGTTATGTTTTGAGCTCGGGTCATCGCGACCCAGAATTATAATTCGTATTTACGTGTGGGCACGTCAGCATTATCAAATAATGACCCCCCCCCACCCCAAAAAAAAACAAAAAAAACAAAAACAAACAAACATTGTCGTATACATGATCATAAAATAAAATATCGAGCATTGGAGAGTGCTGAAAATGTAACATTACATTTATACAAGTAACTTCCTTTATAAGAATGTATATTAATGCCCCCCCCACCCCTCTCACATCAAGACTCGCAATCTCACATTTGTCTCACACCGCTGAACTATATTAATATCATAGTGGCTTATCAGCCTTTAACATCGCAGATTTATTTCACCATTGCAGAAAACAAACGAAAATATTACGCACCAAAACGCACTTGTGATATTTTAAAAAGTAAAAAAAAAAAAAAAAATTTCATCTAGCACAGTTATCCGGACATTTATATCATGAAATCAGTGTCATCATATGTCATCACCTTCTTCTTGAAAAGGGGTAATTTTTTTTTGATTTTTTTTTGGTAGAGTTTGAGCCGAAAAGTAGCTAGAATGTGTTGTCAGCGACAGCGAGTCTTTGCGCCATGTTTTAGCTCGATAGGTTGACGGAAAGTGGGTTAGTTAGCCGTTCAAAGATTTTGGCCAGTCCGCCACGCAGTCCGTCATCCACACACCGAGCCAGCCAAGAACGAAAGGGAAGTTGACACGAATGAGGCCTGCACAAGAAAGGGCGTCCCAAATTTTCCTCCCTTTTATCGAAGGCGTCATTGAAAATTCTTTAATACAGTCATATACGGTCTTCACTCTATCATCCTAGAGTAACGTATTCTCTAACACAGCGGTACTCAACCTGCGGATCGCGACTCCTTTGGTGTGTCGCTAGACCCTTTTCCAGGGGTCGCTTAAGACCATCTGAAAACACATATCCTTACAGCTATGAATTAGCAACGAAAATAATTGTGTGGCTGGGGGTCGCCACGACACGAGAAACTATATTAATGGGTCGCGGCACTAAGAAGGTTGAAAACCACTGCTTTAACATATCATTATAATTTTCTAATGAGACCAGAGGCGCAACTGGCGGATGGTCGTGGGGTCTTAGCCCCTCCTACTGGCTTCAAAAATGTTTAAGTTTTACAAGGCAGTAAAAGACAGCAGTGTATAGAGCTAAAGTGTATAGAGCTAAAGTTATGGCTAAGAGTGTACACTCACCTAGCCTTGTAAAAGAAAAAGCCACCTACGCCCCTGAGTAAAACAAAATTTAAAAAAAAATTCATAGTGTATAAATATACTTCAGGCGAATGTCATGTTTCGCTAGCGTTGATGTTTAAAAAAAAAAAAAATCATTATTATTTGTATAGCTTTTTAAACTATTATATTAAGAGAAGTGCATTAGAACTGTAATGCACCTTAACTTAATGTTGTTGCAATTTCATAAATATGCCCCACTCTAATTTTCTGTCTAATGAAATCCACCTTGAATTATTATTATAATTATTTTTTTTTTTTTTACAAGTTAAGAACTACGTGCGAATATTCAAATCAAAACTTTAGCATGTCAACGATTTGCGACAATGATAAACCGTTAATAGCGTGCTGTCTGCGTTCTAATTGCTAGTTCTGGGCACATCCCTCATGTTTTTTTTCTTTTTTCTTTTTTTTTTTTTTTTTTTTTATTTTTTTTTTTCGGTAGTTGAAGTTATTGGTTAAGCAACTCTTCTAACCGTAACCGCGTGAAGTTGGCCTAGAGTCTAGAGCAATGTAAATACTTCCACAGTCTCGTGAGAGGTTTGCTGAAATGCTTTCCCAGACATGGAAAGAAGACCTGTGCTTTTCTTTTATGGGAAAGTTCGGTTTTTTTTTTAACACCTGCAAACAAGCAGGCCATGCACAACTTATTTATGGTGATCGTACAGCGTTAGCATCTTTCTTTATATAGAACACCTTGGCATTCCGATTACCCTGGTCGTACAATGAAGATTTTATGTGTGTGTAATGAAAAAAGGAGGGGGGGGGGG